CAGCGTGCGACTAAAAGCTGCAGAGCGACAGAGGAGATATTTCACGTAGTTACATCTGTGGTGAGTATACAAGCCGTGCGCCAGTCATAGCGAGTTGAACCACAGTGTGACAGAGTGCCATTTGGAAAATAAAAATAAGAAACACTTGTGAAATAACAGGTAGTAAGTGGCGTTGGTTGTGGGATCTGTCTGTCGCTGCAACGTTGCAAACAAAATGTGACTTCCGTTCACGACTTTCAAATTAAAACTGTTATGCTTGCGTAGCAACGATCCAGGTGTAAGCCTAGGTGTCATTTGCACTGGGGACGTTTTTGTCCCCATCACTTTTTGAAAGTATTTGTTAAAATGGCTCTGATAAATTGCTCGCAGCAAGAAATGTTAATTAACAAATGAGAATGCTTTGAGAAAGGTTTATTTGCACAATAAGAAACATGCAATGCAATGGAAATATCTAATAAATGAATGTGAATTGTCTAAGAAAGTAAAAGAAGTTGCTGATTACTACATTATATTTTTATATTTTGTATTGTCACCTTACACCTGAATTTTGTGTTTCCCTTTATATATATAAAAGACATTTCAACCATGAATTGGTCCGGAAAATGTTTCCAAAATGCAGGAAATTAAGTGTTTAATGCTCAAAATCTTCTGGGGGAGGACCCCAACACCTCCCAAATCATATATTACAGTAGTGAATATTTGTTCTAATATCTTATTGTTTTGTTTACGTTTGGGGAGCAAGTGTATCACTGCACTCCTAATCTGAGCCCTTAAATGTCCCCACCACTTTTCAGCAGAAAGTGACGCCCTTGAATTTAAGCTAATGCAGTTTTTATTATAGAAAATTCCATATATATCATATTGTGTTGAGGTTTGGGGAAATGCATATAAAACAAATATTGACCCTATAATTAAACATCAGAAAAAAATTATTAGAATAATAAATAAAGTGGGCTTATGTGAATCTACTAACCAATAACTTGTAGGGTCATGCACAGGGAAGATTTTAGATATTGTGGATTCAAAAACACTGAAAATAGTTTATGGAGTTAAAAATAGAAGCCTTCCAGTTTGTATTGAAAAAACGTTTTAAATTAAGAAAGGGAAAGTATAATTTAAAAGGATTGTTCATATTTGAAACACGTAAACTGAGGACCAATGTAAAATACAGACGTGTTTCAGCTTTGGGAGTTACAGTATGGAGTTTCAAAAAAGCCTTAAAATTTAGGTGTATTACAATTTACACTTATTTCATTTTGTTTTCTTTTTTTAGTTTCTTCTTTAGTTTTGTTCTTTCCTGTTGCTGTTATTTTGCATTCTAGTAGGATAGGCAAAAATAAGCCTTGCACTTCAGCCTATTCCTTTTTTCAGTTGTTAATTGTGTGAAATGGATTGATGTAAACATGGATAAGATTTTTGTAAACTGCATATTAACAATAATTGTCATTCTTTGTACAATATAATGTAAACCCGAAATAAACAAATTCATTCTAAATCAATAGGCTACAAAAACACAACATAATGTGGTAATAAAGAAATGTAGGGTTGAGAATATACTTTCATAGATATTAGCTCGACTTTTGTCTGTCTGCTTTTATTTTAAAGGCAAAGTCACCTCACTTCCGGTGTTGTACTGGATAACTTCACAATGATGCAGCCGTACTAGCATCTTCTAAATAAATAATAGCCTGAATAGCAGTATTTATAATGTCCAGTCTTCAACACTCACTCACACAGTGAAAGGTTATGTGGATGAAATGAACACTGACCATTTTCATTAGGTGACCGTATGCAGATAATGATGCTGAATGAGAATCAGAATTTGGGACCTGATCTAGTCTAAATGCTGTATTTGCATCAGAGAACATATGAAACACACACACACACACACACACACATGGTGTTAGCCTGAATTAGATAAAGCTGACTCATGTTACATATTCTCTCGCAGGCTGCCATGCAGGACAACAGGAATGGGAGAATGCCGTTCCCACCACCCATCTGCAGAGACAGGGTCATCTGGGAATTCCCAAAGGTACATCCATTTTTATGACAATATATTGTGGTGACAACGGTCTGCTCCAGTTTTATACAGGTCCAGGAAAAGGAAAAAAAACTGTGGGATCACTGTGGTTAAAATTGTAGCAGCGCCGGTCTAGAGGATGTTATCTTTATTGGAAAAGTGTGACTTCTACCCAACCTTCCCTGGTAAACAGTGTCAGGTCACCGCGCGCAGGGTAATGATGGGCTGTTCATTTACATTTACATTTACTCATTTATCCAAAGCGACTTACATTTGAGGAACAACATACAAGCATCAACAGAACATCAAATACAGATCTACAACTGACAATACATACTAGTAAGAGCTAATAGAAGTCCTAAAATATTTTAATTGTGTTAAGATTCGACGTCTCAAATGGTTCAATCATAACTTCTGTTTTAGCTTCTTGTTTTTGCTGTTCTTCTTTAGTCATCTACTCATGCTCTGATAGGTCAGGATTGATATCTTTTTCATTTTGTAATGAAGAACTTAAACAAAGAAACTCCTGCACAAAAATAAATTTATTAGCTGGCAATGATCCGGTACTTGACCTTCATTAGGCAAACGGTGTTAACGTAGGGACAAGCCATCTTTTGTAGGAGGAGACTTGTTTGTCTGCGTCAAGTCCAGTACTGTAGATCGAGATTAAGCTTAAATACAACAATAGTATTTAATAGTAGCAATAATATATCGTAACAGAGAGATCTATAATAGATGGATGTAGATTTCTGTATAATGAATGCAATCACAAAAATATATAACATAATAAAATAGTAATGTAAAAAAAGATTTCTTTGCAACTTTTGACCTGCTCGTCACCCTCTGACGCACCTGTCTCACATTATAGATGTGCGAGGTAGTTTTCTGTTCGTAAAGATAACGTTAAAATGGTCTTGAAATCTTAAATCAACGATGCTGAATCTTGCGAGAACAAGGTAGTACTGATAGTAGGACAGAGAAGTGTTTGGCCCTGTTTTTGCCTACAGTACAGTAACCAGCAAGGTGCTTGTTGACTACCTGTACATTATTGTATATTTACTGAACATACATTCCCATCCCCCAGAAGATCAATCCCTCTGACTTTGGGGTATGACTTAAACTTTCTTTTATCAATAACAAATAGATGACAGCCATGAAACTTCATTGATCCCTTTACTTTGAATTTTTGAATTGCCGTCACCAAGTCAGCCTTTTAGTTCCTTTAATATTTAGTTTGGTTTATGACTAAATGCCTGCAGAGCTAATTATATCCCATTAGCTTCAGCTGTACTTTGTGTATATTTTAAATTAATACTTGTTACCAATATAACAACTAAACTTAGACGGTGAACATGGTGAACACAGCACCTGCTCAGCTTGTTAGCACATTAGCATGCTTAACGTTTAGCTCCAAGTACCGCCTCACAGATCCTCTAGCATGACTGTGGATTTATATACTGTATTTTGGTTATAACAGGTATGTGATGTGCAGAATCAATGCTGACTGTACACGTTCCTGTTGTTTTTTAGTGCTACATGCCTGAGACCTCCCTGCAGCTGAAGACAGACTGGGACATTCAGGTCAAAGCAGCCTGTAAAGACAGAGCCGCAAGGCATCAGCCGTGAGTCTCCCGCTTTGTGTGCATTCAGCGTTCTTAGTTTTACATCCCATTCAAACCATTTGTATCTAACAAAAAAAAAATCTGCTGTCTTCTTTAAAGGTGGGACCGACAGAAAATGTCAAAAGTGGTGGTTGTCGGAGACCTTAATGTGGGGAAGACCTGCCTCATTAATAGGTACTTTGGCAACATGCTGTCATTGCTCATGTTCTTATTTGTGCTTATGTCATTTTGTCTGCAGTTAGGCTGTTTTATCTGTTTAAATAAATAAATAAATAAAACAAAAGTAGCCAATTAAGACATAATCTATATAACTGATGACAATATCAAAATCAGATCTATTTTACAGTGAAGAAAAGTTCTTATAGGTCATTGGTTTCTAACCTTTTTGGCTTATGACCCCCATCAAGTTTTCCTCTCAGATTGTTATTATTAGAATACTTTTTAGAGGTTAAAGCTGTAAATATTATAAAGTTATTTACAGGTGCAGGACTAATTTGTGCAGCAGAATTGTTTCCTATCTTGCTGATCATCTCACAAACAATCCGATTTATCGTGTGACTTTTTTGGAGGCTCTCAACCCCAAAATAAACTTCCTCTCACTTACAGCTGCTTTTATTTTCAGCTAAATTGTTAAGTGTTAATGTTTGTATGAACATAAAAAGAATCAACAACTAAGACAAAAGACCTGGGATTAACAGAAATGGAAAAATGTGTCTCTGCTGTGGCCCTGTGGTCCCGTTGCAGGTGTTGCCACATGTGGTCTGCCACTGCGAGGACGATCAGCTGTCCTTCCTGTCTCCCTGTAGCGCTGTCTTTGGCAGTACAGCATTTTATTGCCCTGGCAACATCGGCAGTCCTCATGCCGCATGCCAAATGCACGCTCACGCAGATGGCCGAGGGCATCTTTCTTTTGGTGTCTTCAGAGTCAGCAGAGAAGTCTCTTTAGTGTTCAAAGTGTGACCTTAATTGGCTGCCGTCTGTACGCTGTTAGTGTCTTAACGACTGATCCACAGGTGCATGTTCATTGATTGTTTATGGTTCATTGAATAAGCATTAAAAACATTGTTTACCCACCTATACCATAACGATCTGTAAAGGGTTTTGGATCTTTAAATACAGCGTCCTGAAGAAGGGCCGTTTCTTTTCTTTTTTGCTGAGTTACATCACCACGAAAAAAAGGAAACTGAATATCAAACAGATCTGTGACTGTTGCGGTGGGTTTTCAGCACCATGGACAAAAACTAAACCAACTTGTTGTGTTTGTGTTGTTTTCAGGTTTTGTAAAGACGTATTTGAAAGAGACTACAAGGCCACCATAGGTGTGGACTTTGAGATCGAGAGGTTTGAGATATCTGGAATACCTTTCTCCCTTCAGATGTGAGTAGTTTGATTTTAAATCCTGCATACATGTAACTCTATGTGTTTTTGCCGTTTATGTTAACTTTTTTAAATTTTACAGCTGGGATACTGCTGGGCAGGAAAAATTCAAGTGCATCGCTTCTGCATACTACAGAGGCACTCAGGGTAAGAAGTTGTTGTTATAACTAAAAGATGGTTGTGTGTCTGATGCTAAGTGAGACCATTTTATATGTAAACGAATGATGCTGAAACTTCTTGTTCATCCTTTCCAGTCATTATCACCGTCTTTGACATGGCAGACATTAAGTCCCTAGATCATACACGGTAGGTCTGATTATTACATTACAGCGGGCTTCTTCTACAGTTGTTGAAAGTCTAAAATTCATGCACTTGTATTTAATGGTTCTCTAACTGTCTTCATTTCATTTATTTTATTTATTTGTGCATTTGACAAGGGACAGTGCTCATTAATCAACCAGCCAGAGTTAGCTCAACATGCTAATTTTCATCTGTTGTCCCTGGTCAGTAAATAAAATATCTTCGTTATACAACACAACAGACTTTGAGGACGACTAATTTTCACTCTTGCCACCTAAAAAGAGGCAAAGAAATGTTACTATTTTTAAGTAACTTAATATAGGTTGGGTGGGAATTTAGCGTAAACAGCATTGCTAATCTTGAAAGCTATTTTCACTAAACTATGCTGGTTGGATTAGTTGACAAATCTGCTAGATCTGAATCCATGCCACAAGACAATGCCAACTGAGTGTGATCTTCAATACCAAAAGAAGAACATTTACTCAGCAAACACAGTGACATCTGGTGGCTTGTTAAACCTATTGCAGCCTTTAGTGTTGTAGTCAAGACCAACCAAACCGAGACCAAGTCAAGACCAAGACCAGAGTTTATCGAGACCGAGACAAGACCAAGACTTTTAGGGGCTGAGACCAAGTCGAGACCAAGACCGAGGGAGGGCGAGACCGAGACAAGACCGAGACTTTTAGGGGCTGAGACCAAGTCGAGACCAAGACCGAGGGAGGGCGAGACCGAGTCAAGACCGAGACTTTTAGGGGCTGAGACCAAGTCGAGACCAAGACCGAGGGAGGGCGAGACCGAGACAAGACCGAGACTTTTAGGGGCTGAGACCAAGTCGAGACCAAGACCGAGGGAGGGCGAGACCGAGTCAAGACCGAGACTTTTAGGGGCTGAGACCAAGTCGAGACCGAGACAAGACCGAGACTTTTAGGGGCTGAGACCAAGTCGAGACCAAGACCGAGGGAGGGCGAGACCGAGTCAAGACCGAGACTTTTAGGGGCTGAGACCAAGTCGAGACCAAGTCGAGACCAAGACCGAGGGAGGGCGAGACCGAGTCAAGACCGAGACTTTTAGGGGCTGAGACCAAGTCGAGACCGAGACAAGACCAAGACTTTTAGGGGCTGAGACCAAGTCGAGACCAAGACCGAGGGAGGGCGAGACCGAGTCAAGACCGAGACTTTTAGGGGCTGAGACCAAGTCGAGACCAAGACCGAGGGAGGGCGAGACCGAGTCAAGACCGAGACTTTTAGGGGCTGAGACCAAGTCGAGACCAAGACCGAGGGAGGGCGAGACCGAGACAAGACCGAGACTTTTAGGGGCTGAGACCAAGTCGAGACCAAGACCGAGGGAGGGTGAGACCGAGTCAAGACCGAGACTTTTAGGGGCTGAGACCAAGTCGAGACCAAGACCGAGGGAGGGCGAGACCGAGACAAGACCGAGACTTTTAGGGGCTGAGACCAAGTCGAGACCAAGACCGAGGGAGGGCGAGACCGAGTCAAGACCGAGACTTTTAGGGGCTGAGACCAAGTCGAGACCAAGACCGAGGGAGGGCGAGACCGAGACAAGACCGAGACTTTTAGGGGCTGAGACCAAGTCGAGACCAAGACCGAGGGAGGGCGAGACCGAGTCAAGACCGAGACTTTTAGGGGCTGAGACCAAGTCGAGACCAAGACCGAGGGAGGGCGAGACCGAGACAAGACCGAGACTTTTAGGGGCTGAGACCAAGTCGAGACCAAGACCGAGGGAGGGCGAGACCGAGTCAAGACCGAGACTTTTAGGGGCTGAGACCAAGTCGAGACCGAGACAAGACCGAGACTTTTAGGGGCTGAGACCAAGTCGAGACCAAGACCGAGGGAGGGCGAGACCGAGTCAAGACCGAGACTTTTAGGGGCTGAGACCAAGTCGAGACCAAGTCGAGACCAAGACCGAGGGAGGGCGAGACCGAGTCAAGACCGAGACTTTTAGGGGCTGAGACCAAGTCGAGACCGAGACAAGACCAAGACTTTTAGGGGCTGAGACCAAGTCGAGACCAAGACCGAGGGAGGGCGAGACCGAGTCAAGACCGAGACTTTTAGGGGCTGAGACCAAGTCGAGACCGAGACAAGACCGAGACTTTTAGGGGCTGAGACCAAGTCGAGACCAAGACCGAGGGAGGGCGAGACCGAGTCAAGACCGAGACTTTTAGGGGCTGAGACCAAGTCGAGACCAAGACCGAGGGAGGGCGAGACCGAGTCAAGACCGAGACTTTTAGGGGCTGAGACCAAGTCGAGACCAAGACCGAGGGAGGGCGAGACCGAGACAAGACCGAGACTTTTAGGGGCTGAGACCAAGTCGAGACCAAGACCGAGGGAGGGCGAGACCGAGTCAAGACCGAGACTTTTAGGGGCTGAGACCAAGTCGAGACCAAGACCGAGGGAGGGCGAGACCGAGACAAGACCGAGACTTTTAGGGGCTGAGACCAAGTCGAGACCAAGACCGAGGGAGGGCGAGACCGAGTCAAGACCGAGACTTTTAGGGGCTGAGACCAAGTCGAGACCAAGACCGAGGGAGGGCGAGACCGAGTCAAGACCGAGACTTTTAGGGGCTGAGACCAAGTCGAGACCAAGACCGAGGGAGGGCGAGACCGAGTCAAGACCGAGACTTTTAGGGGCTGAGACCAAGTCGAGACCAAGACCGAGGGAGGGCGAGACCGAGACAAGACCGAGACTTTTAGGGGCTGAGACCAAGTCGAGACCAAGACCGAGGGAGGGCGAGACCGAGACAAGACCGAGACTTTTAGGGGCTGAGACCAAGTCGAGACCAAGACCGAGGGAGGGCGAGACCGAGACAAGACCGAGACTTTTAGGGGCTGAGACCAAGTCGAGACCAAGACCGAGGGAGGGCGAGACCGAGTCAAGACCGAGACTTTTAGGGGCTGAGACCAAGTCGAGACCAAGACCGAGGGAGGGCGAGACCGAGTCAAGACCGAGACTTTTAGGGGCTGAGACCAAGTCGAGACCAAGACCGAGGGAGGGTGAGACCGAGTCAAGACCAAGAACAGGGCGGTCGTTAACGGGAACAACACATTTTTAATTAGCTTTATTGGTTGCATTAGAAACAATACGTTTTACATCCAATCAAACAAATAATTCAGACAACGCAAAAGCAATTTACTGATATGCCCAAAGTGATGGTCTTGAAATAAAATTCTGAGTCCTCAATGACCGAGACCGAGTCCAAAGCAGTCGATTCCCGAGACGAGACCAAGACCATCAAAAAGTGGTCTTAAGACCGGTCTCGAGCACTACAACACTAGCAGCCCTTCAAGACTGGGGCGACAGACAGCAACCAAGTCTGAAGACCTCAGAACTAGAGTGATGAATTCTAGGTACAATGTCATGTATAAGTCAGAGATCTTTAGCCTGATAATCAGACTGTCTTTGCTGACCAAACTGGAGATGTCAGTGTTGATTCAGAGATCTGGAACCAGACTATTATTATTATTATTATTATTATTATTATTATTATTATTATTATTATACTATTATACATATTTCAACTGTTGGTCTTAATCACATTCCGGAAACAGCAAAATTTAGCTTTTGAATCAGCAACTATGCTTAAAAGGCAAAGGAAATTTTACTGTATATGTACAGTAAAATTCTAATATTCTAATATCAGCTGCAAGTGTTGCACCGTGCACAATGTAAAACCTTTTTGTTTTGTTTTCATAGCCAGTGGTTGGACGAGGCCTTGAGAGAAAATGAGCCTGACTCCTGTTCCATCTTCTTGGTTGGCGCTAAGAGTGACCTGCTGGTGAGTGTATTTTATATTATATACAGAATATATGTGTGTATATATTTTTTTTTATATACACAGTTTTCTTCTAGTACTAAACTGTATTGTTCTGAAGCCCTTAGACGAAAGGCAGAGGACAGAAAAAGATGCCATCAGGATAGCAACAGAAATGCATGCAGAGTTTTGGGCTGTTTCGGCTAAAACAGGTAAAATCAAGAGCTCACACTCGTGCTGTATCGTATGTTAAGATAACATATATATACAATAATGACGATTCACAGCTGTATCTTTCACTTCTTGTTAACTGCCTGAATGAAATAAAAATCTGGTTGTAATATAATCTACTCAAAGTCAACAGCAGAACAGAGCTAGTGCTAATTGCTCCAGAGGCAAGGCAAGTTTATTTGTTTAGCACATTTAAGCAACAAGGCAATTCAAAGTGCTTTACATAAAACTTAAAAGCAACATAGGGAAATATAAAAATAACAATATACAATTAAAAAAAAGAGTCAAATAGAAAATAAAAACAGGGTTAATTTTTATTTGTCACTGATTATTCATAACTCAAGTCTAATGAGTTACGAATAATCAGGCTTTTCACCTTCCATTGTTTTGCTTTTTTTAGTTCCCATCTCTCTCACCAGTCAAACCTAGTACAATGTTTATTATATTACTTACTTATTCACAGTTGTCACTGTGAATCCAGATTGGTTGCGCTACAATCTCGTTAAATGCAGTCAAAACAGCAGAGAAAAAAACCTTCAGCTCTACTCAGCCCTGCCAGGACGCACCAGACAGCGGCGAACTATACTAGAGATGCCCTGTTAAGACTTCTGAGAGAGGAGGAACCGACTTAAAAGTTTCAAAAAGCAAGAAATCTTACCCTGAAAAGCAGAACAGAGAAAGTTACAGTGTAAAATGTTAATAAAAGAATTAAATGGAAAATAAAAACAGGTAATCAGGCTTTTCACCTTCCATTGTTTTGCATTTTTGATTCCCCATCTTCTTTATCGTACGAAATGTATTCCCTCTTATTCGCAATCGTCACAGTTATCCCAGATTTAAGCAGTCAAAACAGCGGAGAAAAGGGGGTCGGAGATCTCTCACAACCTGGGTGTCATTTTGGACTCCACCGTCTCATTTTAGTCAAACTCATCACTAAATCTGCCTTCTAACACCTCAAGAACATCTCCAGACTCTGGCCTTCACTCTCGAACTCTCTGGCAGAGTCACTTCATACATCCTGCTTGGCCTTCTGCAGTGGTGTCCAGTTCGGGGCACCGAGCAAAGTCCTGGACAGACTCCAATATGTGCAGAACTCGTGTGAGGGGGTTAAGCTCACACCAGGCCCTGGCACCACATCAACCCAATCCTTACTCACCTTCACTGGCTCCCATACTCAAGTCAACATCAACGCATCAACTGCAAAATCCTCCTCCTCACCTATAAATTCCTCCATGCCATTGCCCCCCAGTACCTACTGGACCTTTTCCCATCCCTACACCTAATCCCAGAATCTGTGGACTTTGGGGACAGAGCCTTCAGCGTCGTAGCCCCCACCCTTTGAGACTCCATCCCTTCAGAGATCTGCAACGCTCCCTTTCTGGAGTCTTAAAAAAAAACAAAAACAAAAACATGCTAAACCGCACCTGTTTACTGAGGCCTGTATTTTGTATGTGCATGTGTTTTTTTATGTGTAATGTGTAAAGCGACATTGGGTCCCTTGAAATACGCTATAGAAATATTAAGTTATTATTAAAATAAACTTAATAATAATAAACTTTTTCCTATTTCCAGGGGAGAATGTGCAGGGGTTTTTCTTCAGGGTGGCAGCTTTGTCCTTTGAGAAGTGCATTCTTAATGACATGGAGAATGGGATGCCTGTTAGCATCGGACATGGAAATAGCATCAGTAAGTAATGAGCGAACTCCTAATGCGCCAACAAGCAAAGATGTTGATACTGGAAACGTGTAAACAAGTATAAAATAAATGTTTGTCTTGACAGAATCCGATGGTGCCAACCTGGAGGAGCGTGCACCCCGAGACACGAAGGGAAGCTGCTGCTGATGAAAAGAGGAAAGCGTAACCAAACAGAGGCTCTATTCTGAGCTTAAAGTGACTGACCATGTTCCACTGGACTGAAATTTGTCTTAGAACATGTTCCATTAGCTCATCAAAACTGCCATGTATTCTGACAGTTGGCCTGAAAACCAGTTGTTATTAGATTAATCTGCCAATAATGGATTGCTGATACTAAATCTTCAGTAGTGCCTGGACCAGACTCATTTGGGACAGGCAATTGTTGCCTCCTGGTAAAAGCCTTGTATAGATGCTTTAGATTGTTTTTAGTTTGTTTCTTCATACAGTAACGTTGTGGAATATATCTCAGCCATTATTATGGGTTGTATACAGATACATTTTTAGTTAATTTAAGAAAGGAAACAAAATGTTTATGTTTACTTTCAGGTAATAAAAGTGTAAATTGACTATAAACTCAACATATATAATGGCCACAGCATTTTGATTCAATGGAATGAACAGCTTATGTTAGCCGCTGCATATTTATGGGACCAGTATTTTTGTCAAACTCTAATAAAGTGGTTTACTGAACTTTTCTTTCCTATTCATTTTCAAAAATGTGAAAAATGGCTGTGCAAGAACGCTCTCTCCAATCTCCCTTGATCATACTTCCATACTAAAGTCAGACTTTTACTTGTAATGGAGTATTTTCTCAGTGTAATATTACTACTTTTACGTAAGTAAAGGACTTGAATAATTCTCCCCCCACTACACATATGTACCTTAAAGAATTTGTGTAACACGTTTGTCTTTTTATCTAAAAGAAGCGAAGATGGGGGTTAGAGGGGTGAGTCCTCTTGCTTCCGTAATACACTCTCTGGACAACCGCGAACCAATCAAATCACAGCATTCATTGTTTTGGAGGAAGTACGACCAGTGTGAGCGAGCTAGTTAGCTAGCAAACTTGCTTTCTATTTTTCCACCCTCAAAACGGTGGTTTTAAAACTTATTTCAACTCTATGGATGTGGTTTCGTTTCAGGTAGTTAACTGTTGGCAAGCCGCCATAAAACTAAAAGAAGAATGATAAGTAGTTAACGTTAGTTCACTGGCTGTCAATTGTTTAGAATTAGCCACATGCTAGGTTAGCATACATCCCAGGGCAGTTTGAGCTGTTGGGGAGAGACTGCTGAGGTATATATATACATTTATATACCATAATGTATACCATAATGCGTAATGTATATAAATATATAGGCCTGAATGTTTTGTGTGTCTGTGTTTCTGAAGGTAACGTTACTGCTTTAAAAAAGCCTGGCTGGAAACTTCAGTAAATCAGTTTCAGCTACTTTTATTTCACTCAGAAGCCAACTTTCAGATTAGTTTTCTTAGCTCATCACTTTTCTACATAGACTTGTAACTTTACACATATCAACATGTAGAAGACAAAGAGTAAATAATATTAAATGAATGAAGTATATCGCAGTATTTGGCCTGAAAGCCAGTTGTTATTGGATTGAAAACGCCAATAATGGGAATTTTGTTAAGCTTTAAAATACAGAACAAATACATACCAAGGCATATATATTAGTTTGCTTTCAAATACTCTGTTGCAAGTAAATGTATGCAAGTATAATGTGGAAAATATACTTTAAGTATTAAAAGTAAAAGTACTCAATGCAGAAAAATATTCCCTGTGACTGTTAGACCAGTTGCCTATATATTATATCAAGATTATCATTATTCCTCTTATGTAAAAGCACAACTTTACTGTTGAAGTTGTTGAGCTCGAGCTCATGAACTATTTTGTATCGGAGCGCAACCAATTATTTTCATTATGAATTAATCTAATAATTTTTTCCATTTATCGATTGTTTGTAAAAAAAATAAAAAAATAAAAAATAAATCTGAAAATAGTGAGAAATGCCCTCACAATTCACCTGGAGTCCAAAGTGATGCCTTCATAATGCTTTGTTTTGTTAAACCAACAGTCCAAACCTAAACATCATTAACAAACATTTAAATAAATTAAATAATTAAAAGGAAAAGCAGCAAATCTTCACATGTGAAGCTGAAAACATGAAATGTTTGTGAAAAATGACGATTTAAATAGTTGCCAATTAATCGTATGTCAACAGACTAATCGTTTTACCTGTGCTTGTATAAACTGTTGACGAGTATAATTTATAACAAAACATCCTATATTTTAGTCTTTTAGTATGTTTTGTGTGTAAAAATCTTAATTTGCAAAGTAACTAGTAACTAAAGCTGTCAGATAAATGTAGTGAAGTAAAAAGTACAATATCTCCCTCTGAGATGTGGTGGAGTAGAAGTAGAAAGTGGCATGAAAATACTCAAATACCTCAAATTAAAGTAAATGTACTGTCCACCACTGTGCAACTTTGGCAAGTCTCAAATTAACCAAAGGTTTTGTTTCCTCAGCTGGTTCATTATGAAGACCAATAAGTCATACAAGCTTGTGCTGCACAAGAAAGGTTTTGGTGGAAGTGGTAAGCAAGAACTTAAAATTCTTGTATCCTAAATAAATGTTTCTCGTTTGAAAGTCATCAAATTAACTTTTCTTTTCAGCAGACGATGAGTTGGTTGTCAACCCAAAGGTTTTCCCTCAAGTCAGTCTGAGGGATATAATCGAGATCGCACACCCGACAGATGAATACAGGTCAGCTCGCATTATGGGTGATGTATTTTACATATTGTTTCATTACTGAGCCTATAATCTGGTATTGTCTCTTTTGAAATCCCCAGTCCTCTCCTGCTGCAGGTGAAGAGCCTAAAAGAGGACCTTCAGAAAGGTAAATATGTTAGGACACTGTATGCAGCAGCATGATGCTATATTGATATTGATGTCCTGATAAACAGTTGTGATCTATCTAACCTGAATATATTTGGGTGCTGACGTGTTGGTTGGTTAAGACAAGCAATCAGAAGACATCACCAACTGTGATAGTCCTTTTCATTGTCATTTTATAGACCAAACATTAATTGATGAATTGAGAAAGTATTTGGCGGATTAATAATAATCTGTAATAATGAAAATTACTATCTGTTGCAGTTACAAAGTGATTTACATGCTTGAATAAAAATTAAAACATTTCAAAGCAGATATTTTAAAGAGAGATTAAATCAATACAGTTAAATGGACAAATAGGACAAGCTAGAAATGGAAGGATGCACTAAAGTTAAGTATGATTTTAGAAGTGATTTAAAGATGTCATAGATCCTGCAAGCTTCAGGTTGTCAGGAAGGGCGTTCCAGAGCCGAGGGGCTCTGCCTGCAAACAGCCCGGTCACCTTTAGTCTCGGGCCGGGACTGCCTGTGGATCTGAGATTGCACTCTGGCTCATAGAGGAGCATCAATTCAGCAATGCAGCTAGGAGCATAACCACGAAGTGCTTTAAAAGTGATCGATAAAACCTTAAAATCAATTTTAAAACAAGTTGCCTGTGAAGGGAGGCTAAAACAGGACTGATGCGATCTTGTCTTCGTGTGTTAGTTAAATGTCGAGCGGCTGTGTTTTGCACTAGCTGAAGTCGTGGGGTAGTTTTTTGTCTCCGTCCTGAATACTCTGAATTACAATAATCCAGCCTAGATGAAACAAAAGCCTGGATGACTGACGGCTGCACATAGTGGTGTTTATTAAATTATAGGGTGTTTCTGTTATTTTGTCCACCTCATATACACAACACACAGACAAGTACATTGTAATATTCAGTCCATATATACTAGAAAATGAAACGGTTTATGATAGTTACCTTGCCCGTTAACTACAAGTGATGGACTTTTTGTTCAGAGACAATCAGTGTGGACCAGACTGTAGCACAAGCCTTCAAACTACGAGCCTACCAGGATGTCATTGTAAACATCGTCAACCCAAAGGTATGTTCACCGTGACCTCCTCTGCGTCTCCATCGTTTGTCATTCGAACAGAATCTCGCATCATCGTTGTTTTTTTTCTCTCTTGGCAGGATGTAACACTGGACCTGGTGGAGCTGACTTTCAAGGACCAGTACATCGGCAGAGGAGACATGTGGAGACTAAAGAAGAGCTTGGTAGGGCATGTGAAGGTGTGCGGTGTATAGTTATGTTATTTACACACATTTACGTGAGGATTTAATTGTTGCAATCTATTTTTCCCAGGTCAGCACATGTGCATATGTGACACAGAAAGTGGAGTTTGCAGGAATCAGGTACAAAGTATACGTTTCATTCTCCACACCCACTTTACGTAAATGCATTTAAAGTGACTTAAATGTGGAATAAACGTACACTGATTGAGCAGCACTGAAAGCAGCCAACAAACAGTACAGTGAGAAAAAAGGTAAAGGGGACAGTTATGGGGCTGAAACTTTATATATCCAAAGATGAGAGGCAAAAATTAAACCTTATTTATCATAGCCGTCGCTTGCCTTGTCTTTACGTACACAGTGGTGTTGATGACTGCAGGCTGTAGGATTTTTCTGTCACTACATTAGGTCTGACCCCTAATAGTCAAAGTTCGATGCTTCGATGGGCGGAGCCTGATTCGACTATCAATCTCACAGTCGAAGCGAAACAAGGATTGTGCCATTTTGTTGATATGGGGGTGCTCAACGTCTGACTTTACATAGAACCACCGGTTTTCTCCCAATATGTTAATATGCTGCCTATTACAATACACATTTCAACATACAATGCTGTAAATAAATCACCGTTGATGAACCACACAAAGAATATTACATCGTTTTTAAATAGTAGTCAAATAATAATGCGAAGTTGTTGGCTGCACAGCATGCACGCAAAACTCTGCACAAGACCGGTGAATGGCAGGCGAGCAGAGAGAAAAGGGTCAACAATAAGACTCAGTGTAGCTGGAAATGTACAGAGTAAGTTACGCTTGCAATCGCCGCACACAAACGCAGCACATGAATCGACCATCATTCCACTATAGGCAAGACGTGACAATTCTGATTCGACTATGTAGATCCTTAGTCTGGGACAGCCCTGCGCTACATGCATGCTTACCACATTTTTCATTCTCCAGAGCCCAGGCCAGTGAACTCTGGGTGAAGGGAGAGAAAGTGACATGCGGGTACATCAGTGAAGACACAAGGGTAAGAGCAGTTTGAAAAGCAGAGGCTGAAATGCACTGACAACACAGACACCAATCCATATAACTCAAGTATTCACTATCTATCGTGGCTTTTTTACTACGACCAAATAGACAGTAAAAGTCCACTAATCTGCAAGAGTCTATCTTAGCCTGACTTATGGCCACTTAACTTGGGTCCACATATCCCTAATCCACGAGTAACCAATGTACTTAAAATACACAAGAGTCAAGGAAAGGTTTGAGTGAACCTTATAATCGAGATTTTACAAAGGACCTGGTCCAAACTCCGCCTGTTTTCTCATTTCTTAAAACTTTTAAAACGTTTTGATTGCATACTGATATTAAAAGATCATACGTGAGCTGATACACGTGCACCTGGCTCCTTTTATAATCTTGCTGTAAATAGTCACTATAGCGTTTGTTTATGCTAGAGTCATTTGTCGTGGAAATTGTATCATGTTGGTGAGGGATTAAGCAAATAATTGAGTTACAACAAACTGTTGTCTTTGAAGAATTTATTAACAGAGAAGTACTAAAACACATATACTGGTCTAGAGACCTGCCGCCTAGGGCAGCTTCGGGCGTCTGGCCCCGAGCAAAGGGATGCATCATCATTTACGCAGTCTAGGTTTCTATGTTTTGGGGAACAGAGATCCTCTCTCGGCCTTGAATGAACACCAAAACAATCTGACAGCTCTGACCTAAACTCTAGTAAATGTGGACAGACTAACATAAGGAGTATAGAAGATAAAAACACAATACATATATCTATAAGACATAATAATAATAGTAATAATAATAATAATAGTTAAAGAACATACAGAAAAGATTACATGTAAGAGGACATACATTTCTTCCATAACATCATTCATTTCTGTTACATGTCTTGTGACCTTGTGACCCAGGTGGTGTTCAGATCCACATCTGCAATGGTTTACATCTTTATCCAGATGAGTTGTGAGATGTGGGACTTTGACATCTACGGTTAGTTGGACTTCATAACTTCATAAGTTTGTTAGTTTAGATTTGTTTTCAATGAAAGTTCTGATCTTGACCTCTGGAGGGGAATGTCTTTTGCTCTCAGGTGACCTCTACTTTGAGAAGGCTGTAAATGGTTTCCTGTCTGACCTTTTTGCCAAGTGGAAGGTAAGCAGTTTTTTCTTTTAGTCTGCCTCTGTTGTTATGGTTGTAAACTAAAACAGTGTTTTAATATTTAATGTTTAAAAACAGGAGAAGAACTGCAGTCATGAGGTGACAGTTGTACTTTTCTCACGTACTTTCTACAACGCCAAAACTATTGGTGAGTCTTCATTATCACAGCGATTAACTTATGATGCATGTGAATACATTTATCATTAATACAGTTTGCGTTTTTATCAGATGAATTTCCTGAGATTCTGAGAGGGTCCATCAGACAGGATCACGAGGGACGTTTTTATGAAGACTTTTACAGGTAACTATAGTTACTGTATGTAGCTTTTATTATTTTCCTTACTATAAGCTCATCTGAATTGAAACTGGACATCATTCACTCCATCTTCCAAACTTCCCCCTTTCAAGATAACCATACTTCCCATGCTGGACTACAGAGATGTCCTGTGCAGACTTGCTTGTAAAGATACCCTTGAGCGGCTAGATATTCTGTACTACTCTGCCATCGGGTTTGCCACCAATGCCCCTTACAAAACCCATCACCGCAATCTATACTCCTCCATAGGCTGGCCACCCCTGCATACTAGAGGAAAACCTAATTGGCTCACTTTCATTTCCAAACCACTCCTTGGTTTTCCTCCACCATACCTGAAAAATTGCTCCTCTGTGTATAATATGCAGTCGTCTAACCATACACAACTAAAAGATCTAAAAGGAAATATTTTGTTTGGTCGCATATGGCCTTCTGATTCTCCGCATCCAATGATTGGAATGACTCACAAAAATCCCTAAAACTTGACCATTTTATTTCTATTAACAGCTTTTAAGAACGATATTGTGGACATTTCCAAACACACGTGCAAGTGCGTCCTCCACAAGCAACTATAATAATTCATGAAATGTTTTTATGCTTGTGGAAAACTGTCCTTTAGCCTTTCCTTAGCTTAAGACACTATAGTGGCTATTTAAGTGTGTGTGTGTGTGTGTGTGTGTGTGTGTGTGTGTGTGTGTGTGTGTGTGTGTGTGTGTGTGTGTGTGTGTGTGTGTGTGTGTGTGTGTGTGTGTGTGTGTGTGTGTGTGTGTGTGTGTGTGTGTAACTAGATAAATGAAACAGTAACGTGTGTGTGTTAAAATAATAGCATATAAGAATATGTTAAAATTAACACATTATCTATGTATTTAATAAATACATAGATATGTGCGTGTGTGTATTATAATAATATATTGAAAATTTAAATAAATAAATAAATAAAACCATAAATGGGCGTGTGTGTTATTATAATAATATATTGAAAATTTTAATAAAATAATTGATAAAACCATAAACGTGCGTGTGTGTTATTATAATAATATATTGAAAATTTAAATAAAATAATAAATAAAACCGTAAACGTGCGTTTGTGTTATTATAATAATATATTAAACATTTTAATAAAATAGATAAAACCGTAAACGTGTGCGTGTGTACATTAATAGAACAACAATTAATGAATTCATAAAAAATAAAAAAAACTAGTAAAACAATCAGTATCTAATTTGAATCAGAATCAGTTCAGTTATTTATCAGTCTGAGTTTCCACTGGTTGTCCTCACTTCAAGGCATGAGGACATATATATATATATATATATATATACACTAGCACTCACTCAAAGTTATTTATTCTGTCTGCTACACTGCATTGTTTATTCCCCTACTGTACCTCCTTTTTTAACCTCTTGCCTTGTCTGTTATCCACTCCCCCCTCCCCTTCAGAGGCTAACCCCCTATTGCCAGGCCGCTCTTGTAAATAAGAAGTTGTTTTGAAGTGTCCTGCCCGGTTAAATAAAGGTTTAATAAATGAATGCAGACCGGGTGACGGAGGCTTTTTGTCGATCAGGGTCGTGGCTCAGAACGAGAGACGGGACGAGTGGACGTCATTACTGGTCACTATCAAGAAGCTCTTCATTCAGTATCCTGTCCTGGTGCGGCTGAAAGAAGCAGGTAGTGAACGAGTCGAGCATCTGGCTGATTAATGGATCAGGTGCCAAAATGTTGTCAATAAAATAATGTTTATTCACTTTCATGCTAGATGGTTTTCCTGTTGGTTACAACTCCACTGCTGCTCAGGGAAACTACCTGGAGGCCATAAACCTGTCCTTTAATGGTAAGTAGTCTAATAGCTCTCAGAAAATAAAATAAATTCTTAAAAGCAGCTTTATTCAGGTAAAGATTAGTCAAGATTAAAGTTATTGCATGTTTGTTGTGTACATTTTGCAGCTATACTAAGCATACACAGATAACATATGTGGAAAATTACAATTCTTCCTGTTCGGACTGGCCATTAAAAGTTCCCTTTCTAAAGTGATTTCAGTGTAGAACCCCTTGTTCTTTTTCTGTGCAAAGATGTATTCCACAGTTTAACTGAAGTTAATACGAGGCTTCAGCCATCTGACTTAGACAAATCAAGTGTGTATCTTAGACAGCTCATTCTACCGAACTGCCCTCCTGCACCACGGAGCTCCCAAAATGCAGGGTTACTTGTGGTACTTAGGGTCTCTGGAAGTAGAATGGGAGCCAGAGGCTTCAGCTATCAAGGATGTGAAGTCACATCTCCATATGGAAGAGCAGGCTTAACACTTTTCGTTTCAACACAGCTTATAGTTAGGCCTATGGTATTTTTTTGATTTCTTAGCAATTTTATAATTATTTACTATCTTGTTTTTTTTCACCATTACGTGTTTTATTGTACTATTTTATTTTGTGTACCTTTTATAATGTGTGTGTGTTTTTTTTTTATATATCTAACGTTGCTATTAATAACTTTTGTGTGTCTCTGTATTTTATTTTGTAAAGTGTACTGAGTGACAACGTCAGGGTGATTTTATACTTTTTTTATATATATATTTTATTTTATTTTTACACTTTTCAACCAACATTGGGGGTAGTCGACATCACAGCTGGTGAGGACAAATCTTACATTAAAATGAAGGTGGTAGAAGAAGAATAAAAAAAATATATAAATAAATTAAAAGAAATTATTGATACATATTTATACTAATAAATATACACATACTTATCCATATGTATGTGATTTTACACTTTAAATAAACCTGACTTGACAATGTTATGATCTTTTTAGAACTAAAATGCCCTCTTTTAAGTTCCCCGGACAGTGTTTGTTTATTTCTGTGTGGGGGATAATAACAAAAGGAGCTTTTGCAGTAAAACATTTGAATATATCAGTGGTCACATATGACAATCACTGTGTCTCCGACAGTGTTTGACAAGCACTACATCAACCGTAACTTTGACCGCACTGGCCAGATGTCGGTGGTCATCACGCCGGGGGTGGGAGTGTTTGAAGTCGACCGTCTGCTTATGATTCTCACCAAACAGCGGATGATCGACAACGGTGAGTGTGATAAAACTAACACGTAGCATAACTTACTTGTAAACAGAATTAAAGGATCGCTGTGTGAATTTAAAGATGTTGCTGACACACGCTTTTCCCTCTTCAGGTATTGGGGTAGACTTGGTGTGTATGGGGGAGCAGCCACTGCACGCAGTACCGTTATTCAAGGTAACACGTTCAGAGTGTCAGTCTTTGTAGGTGCGTGAGGCGAGATACCTGTTGGTTACTGATGGTTATTCTCTCTGTAGCTGCACAACAGGACTACACCTGGAGACTCTCGTGTGGGAGACGACTATAACCTTCCTCACTGGATCAACCACAGGCAAGAAAACTGACTGACTGATAAGAAGATGAATTCAAATTTTATGCAAAGGTGAAACTGATGGCATCTTTTTCTTCCACACTCGCAGCTTCTACACCTCCAAAAGTCAGAACTCATGTAGCTCCTTCACCCCTCGGATCAAGCTGGCTGGCCGTAAGGTACATTCGCGTATTTGCAGAGCTGTTGTTTCACTTAAATAAAAAACATTTGATGTTTTATCATTTCATTAAAATTACCTTTGTCTTTTTTTTTTTAAAGCCTCATGCTGAGAAATTCAAGAGCAGCAAGGACCAAAGTAAGTTGTGACCCTTTATCTCTCTGCGCTCCATTTAATTTCTTGAAGCGTGATTTAGATAATGACTTCATGTTTAGGCATGCTAGCCAGTAGTCAATAATGAAATGTCAACTATCACATGGATTGAAATATGGTACAATTTGCCCAGAGGTTGAATCCTAATGACAAGCATGGACTGGCACATACTTTGTACACATTCATGACTTTCCCTCTATCATGACCATGAGGTTGACATTTGAGGTTTTTAGTGAAATGTTTCAGCCACTGCTGGATGGATTGCCGTGCATATCTCCTTCCAGATGAATTATACTAACTTTAACTTCACATCCAGCGCACAAGATTTTAATTTGCCCAATACTTTGTTTGGTTTATGACCAAATACCTGAAGACTAAAGATATTCACATCAGCCTCTATATGCTAATTGCCAAATGTTAGCATGCTAAGACGCTGTACTAAGATAGTGATCATGGTACAGATTACACCTGCTTAGCATCAGCCTGTTAGCATTATCATTGGCATCATGTTAGCATCGAGGATGTGGTTAGCATGCTGAACTTAGCTCAAAAGCGTCACTCTTCAGCCTCACGCAGCTGCTCGCTGGGCTGCAGACTTAGTCTTGTTAATTTAGCAAAGCGTGAAGCACATCATTCATTTTTCTCATTCTCCAACCCTCCACTTCATGACCTTGTTCAGCTCTCTGTGCTCCAAAGGACTCTGAAAACAGCCTGCCTATACAGGTGGACTACGACGCCTACGATGCTCAGGTCTTCAGACTACCTGGTCCTTCACGAATTCAGAGGAGCAGCAACTTCAGGTATCAGACTGCTTAGATAACAGCGCAGCTGTTCTTATTGCGTCTACCCCTCCCAACTGTCTATATGAAAGGAGGTGGAGTTGCCATTTTTTTTAAGTACTCCCTCCATTGCAAGATGTCCTATGGAAATTAAGCTTCTTCTAGGGAAATAAAGTACAGCGCTGTGGTTGCAGGTGGAAATGCGAGGGGAGACCGGTGTTGTAGTTGTTAAAGGACTTTTGTCTCAGCAGGACCTGGAAAAATTTGTCCATGCATTTATCTCCAGTCGACTCGACTACCTTAACGGTGTCTTTATCGGTCTCCCTAAAATATCAGACAGCTGCAGCTGATTTAGAACGCAGCTGCACTAAGACCAAAAAAGTGGATCACATCACTCCAGTTCTGAGGTCTTTAATACTGGCTTCCTGTCTGTCTGAGAATTGAGATCTTCTGCTTCGTTATGAACCATCCAGACCTCTCAGGTCGTCTGGGATCAGGTCTGCTTTCTGTCACCAGAGTCAAAACTAAAGAAGGAGAAGTTCAGTTTTTATGCTCCACATATCTGGAACAAACTCCCAGAAAACTGCAGGTCTGCTGACAGTTCTTTTAAATCAAGACTGAAGACTTTTCTTTTTGCTACTGGCTTTAATTAAATCAAATGCGAGGGTTTTGACTAATACCTTATCCTGCACTTTAACTTGTACCCTCCTGTTTCATCTTTTTGTTTTATTACATTTAGCCTACATTTACTCATTTGGCAGACGCTTTAATCCAAAGCGACTTACATTTGAGTAACAACATACAAGCATCAAAAAACAATCAATACAGCACGAGATCTACATGTGACAATAGTTACTAGTAAGATCTAATAGCACGTATTGCACCAATGGTGTAAATACCTAGGGAAATAAGTAAGAGTTAACAAAACAGTGCAGTCAATGCAAGAGACTTGTAAGGGGATAGAAGAAGAAGACACAGGAAGTGCATGTAAGAGGAAGAGTTTTCAGGAGCTTCTTGAAGTTAGAGAGGGACGCCCCTGCTCTGATGGCGTGTGGTAGCTCGTTCCACCATCGTGGTGTCACAGATGAGAATAGCCGGGACTGGATTGCTTTGTGTGAAGGGACGGCAGAGCCAGGCGGCGTTCGTTGGAGGAGCGTAGTGGTGGAGAAGGAACGTAAGTTTGTATTATGGAGTTTAGGTAGATGGTGCAGACCCAGCAGTCACTCTGTATGCAGCATTAGCCGGTGAATAGGGTGACCAGACGTCCCGAAAAATTCGAGACAGTCCCGAATTACGATCAGTTGTCCCGACTCCTGTCCGGTTTGTCCCGAAAATTAGACTCACAAACATGGGTTTTGATTATAGCCTAATTAATCAATAAATACTGATCGTTGTGTAGTTCTCTTGCTTCAGAAGGGGTTGCAGTTATCTGTACATTGTGTCAACAGCGTTGTTATAGCAAATAAATAACTCCCCTTTTTTGTTTTTTTGTGGTTAGTGGAAGTTACAGTCGCAAAGACAGGGAAAGTTTAGCTACAGGCAGCCACTATGGGAAAATAAATTCAATAAAGGTTTATTTATAGCGCAAATTAACAACAACAGTTATCTCATAGCGCTCATAAAAGAGCCGGTCTAGACCGTACCGTGACAGACGGGTGACTTCATGCACAAAAATAATTAATTTTAGCTTTGTGTGTTGATTTTCACGTGTGTTAATGTTCATTGACACCGAATGTGCCGGTAATACCAGTAATGATTGTGCGTCTCTCAGGATGGGTCGAGACAAAGAGACGAGCGGGAGGAAGAGCTGGGGCTGTGGATGTCAGCACAGGCATAGGCACGTCTCCTCCCCCTCGCTCTGGAGGTCCTGAGGAACAGCGTAGCCTGGCCTCTGATGATAGTCTGGGCCCCGTGTCCAACATGCTGCTTATACCCCGCATGCCTCTTGTCCAGTATGAAGTCAGCAGCTCCCTGGGTTACACCAGCACCAGAGGTAACTCCTCCAGAGCTTAAGGGACAATGTCTACAAGGCATGTGATAAAATGTGCTTCACCTCTTTCCTCTCTCCTCCCATTATCGGTGTCTTGTTTTGTTTTTCTGCTGTTCAGAGTTGTTGGAGAAGATGATGGACTCTCAGCGGGACTCCAGTGCACCGGGCAGGTTCACAGTGGGAAGTGCTGAGTCCACCCTGCACATCCGTCCTGGAGGTTACACCCCTCAGAGAGCACTCATAAACCCCTTCACCCCATCCAGGATGCCCATGAAGCTCACCTCAAACCGGCGGCGTTGGATGCACACCTTCCCTGTCGGTGAGGGGACACAGAGTTTTTAATCAAAACTAAGTTCGAGGATCCACATGTCACACTGTGTGTACCGTTGTTGTTCTTCAGGTCCTTCTGGAGAGGCAATCCAGATCCATCACCAGACCAGACAGAACATGGCTGAACTGCAGGGCAGCCAGCAGAGGGATCCTGCCCACACCTCTGCTGAGCTCCTGGAGCTCGCCTATCACGAGGCCACTGGAAGGTTAAACCCTACCTACCACAAGGAACAAAAATTTGTAAAGAACGTTAGCTTGAAGACAGCGAGAGGTAAATGCTTTTATTTATCTTTTTATTTTAGGCGAACAGCCTTTAGACAAGCAGGAGAGAACAGCCTTTACATCGGTGGAGGGATAGAAGAGTTCACTGGAAGTCCAGGGAGCAACAACAGTGGTGATGTGTCTACTCAAAAATACTTAGTGTTTTAACTCTGCTTCATACTTACTGTAAATGTTGTAGCTCTGCTTTATTTGCAATGATAAAAGAAGCACACCAGATGTGTGACAGAGAAGCTTTTTGGTAATTTGTTGATGAAAAAGTACATATAAAAAATTACCAGAGGCTGGTGATATTTTTTCTTTCTTTCAAATCCCATGCGATGAGCCAAATCTGATGAACTGATCTACTAATAATTATTGTTTGTCTATCTGAAGCCTTATATATCTTATTCAGTTTAAAGGTAATATAAAAGGCAGGGAGGGGGGAGCAGTGACCGATGGTGCATTCATGTGGTGTCGGAATAATTGGAATTTGTTTTTTCCCACTTAAATCTTTATTGCAAAAAGATGAATAAAGTGTACATGGGACTTAAAGAAGTATAAAACAGAACAGTATACAAATATATAAGAAGACACAAATAATAAAAACTTTGCCTGGGATAGTCTATATTATGTAAAGATATTAAAAGAGGACCATATTTTGACAGTTTTCACAGCCTTTTTGATGCTGAATTTAGAAATTAAATTGATATAAGAAATTGTAGTTGTCTGCGTGTTTTTGATTAATTGATTAATCAGTTAGTTCACAGAAATATTCTGACAATCGGTTAATCTTTTAATTTATTTTACAAGCAATAATGCCCAAATGTACTGGTTCCGTCTCCTCAAATGTGAGGATTTCTTTGTCATATCTTCTAGTAAATGACATATATTTTGGTTTAGACATTTTAACACATTCCCTTTGGATTCTGGGAAACTAGGATGGGTGTTTTTATTTATTTATTTATTTTTACTGCCATTTGATGTTACATAGACTAAATGAGTAATCAATTGAGAAACTGAATTGAATAATGATTATAATGTTTTTAATTTCTGTACAGGAACTATAACCAACCGAGGCTCCACATTTGAAGACGTTTCCGTCAGTGGTGCCGATCCAAGTGAGTCCGTCCTGCCCTTACAAATAACAAAAAACATGTCTGTTGTCGCAAACATTGTCATGCGGCCGTAACGTAACAGGATCAAGTTGAAATTCTTAATCACCAAACTGATGATAGCAACAATCCTTGTGAGGTGTCTTAAACCTGTGAGAGCTTTGGCAGGCAGGTTTCTGAACTGGGCGTCTGTCTCCAGGGGTCACAGGTATAAAATACTCTTTACAGGTCATGTGGCCTGGGATTACCCTCTCCTCCTCCTCCTCCTCCCTCTGTATCCTCACTTTCACTGCCTGATTCTTTTCTATCTCTTTCTCTGGGCCTCCTGTTGATCTTAATTCTCATGATAAACCATTACCAGGTCTTAAAATTCTCCGCCCATAATTTTCCTGTTTGCATTCAACAAGTCTTTTGTCTCATTCCTGCATGGCGGTAGTATGGCGGTATTCCTCTGGACGGATTGTAAATTGTGGTGCTTCTGTAAAAACAAATCTGTCTTGCTCGGAATATTTTTATATGTTTAAGAAATTTGCTCACCATCTGTATGTTTGCATGATGTGATTTCTCTGCTTAAATTCACTCACTTAAAGTCACTTTGCAGTTCACACCTTGGCTGAGCTCAGGACACATTTTTTACTTGCTTGTGAGTGATGCTCATCACAGACTGACTGTCACAGGGGCCACAATCTGCATGTTTGATCACTGCTCCACCACTACAGGCCCCTCAGAAATCACCATCAGGGGTGAACAAGGCCAGTAAAAGTAACAATTTCCTTGTTTTTTCTTTCCCCTCTCGTCTACTGTCTTTTTTAAATTTATGTTTGTGTCTTCATCCTCGCCTTTTCTTTTCCATCTTCGTGTCCTCATCCTCTCCCTTCCTTTCTTTCTTATCTGCCCCCCATTTGTGCTTCCCCTTCCTCTCTGTATCCACCCCCGCCCCACACACATGTACCGCCTACTCTGGGTACATGCATGTGTCTTGCTGTGGGGATTTTTTTTTGTGTGTTTGTGTATGTATGGTGTGGGTGCTCCTGAAGCCCTGCTGCTGTCTGCGCCCCCGACAGTGCCCAGCTTCTGCTGCACAGTGGGGGTGGACTGGAAGTCTCTGACCACACCAGCCTGTCTGCCCCTCACCACCGACTACTTCCCCGAACGCCAGGCGCTGCAGAACGACTACACTGAAGGCTGCTATGACCTGCTGCCGCACAGCGACCTGGAGAGGTGGGCAACATCCTTTCTTCACAGTGAAACTGTCTATAGCCAATCACACTGCGCCTGCTACTGCTAAAGACACTCAACAGCTATTCATGAGTTCAGATACCCAAGGGTGTGGTTTTCCACTGGAGATCGAGGGACATATCTGTTCTCTTAACGTCCAGTAAATCAATCTTGATCAGATTGATACAAGCGCTGATACACTTACCTCAGTTTCCACTTACTACCATAAAGCTGAAGGAGCAGCTGTGAGTTGTGCATATATAGTCCGTCCTATTGCCTTGCTGGAGTTTTTTGCAGCCCTTCGCAGCCAGAAAAGAAGACTGCAGCAAAACTGGCACTTGCTGTTATTTTCTGCACCAGTTCCCGTGTTTCTATGCATTGTTGAGTTGGTTAAGTTGGCCTTTTGGCTGCAAGTCTTCAA